GCTTTTTTTCACTTGGCCAGTGCTAATTCAGTGTGGCAGTCTGGAGGGTGAATGGCACACGCAGTGCTGGGGAAAGAGGTGCTTTTGGGTGAGGATATAGTGGGAATGTTCACCTTTGGGGGATATCCTGCCAGGCCAGGGCTGCTGTTGCCAGTTAGGCCAAATGTCACTGAGCTGTTGGGGCGAGGGTTTGGCCTTGGCAGCCAGAGTTGCTGTGCTGTGGAGTTGCCCTGCTGCAGCCAGGCCCATTCTGTGCTGTGTGCCTGGATAGATGAGAACGTGAGGACTTAGCCTGGGCTATAACCCCTGCCCTGGGTTTCTCCAAGCCTGTCATTGTGAGTCATTATTTGTTTATTTACAAAGTGCACACAAATGATATCAATGCAGAGTCAGGCTGTTACAGACACTGCTGTTTGGACATCAGGCTGTGTTTGCAGAGCACAGGCAGAGCAGTTGCACAATCTATGTAAGTAGTCAACCATTCCTAAGAAAACCACTTAGATATCTCATGTTTTCTACCTGATCAATTGCTTGAGCCCAATGACCTGACTCTCTGCTTGATTTTACAATGTAGAGGGTTTGATTATCCTGCTGCAAAGGTGTTTTACTGTGTGTAGGCTTTGTGTCATCTTTCCACCTCCCCTACTGCATAAAAGCATTAGGTCAAAAGCTGTAAGAGCACCACATCCATACAGGTGCATTTCACTTGGGAAAGACAGGGGTTACATAAAAGATATGTTCAACTTAATTTAATGAGGTTACTCATGATTTTATTTTTTAGTGCTAAAGCTTCCTCTCCACAGTCTAAGCCCAGAACCCCACTGTGGATGCTGGTTTCACCAGCACAGCAGAGACCACAGCTCAGCTCAGGGGCAGGGTTTTGTACTGAACAAGGTATAAGAGGTTATGGTGGGGTTGGCACCAGGAACCTTTACCTAATAGTTATGACATCCTGAGGTGATATGAGGGTACCTCTTTATAGCAGCAGGGAAATCTTTCTATAACTGTGCAAGAAACATATATTCAGCAGTAACAGTAATATGCTGCTTTTGCTGTTGACCTTGTAAGATCAAGGCAGCCCCCTCCAGATATGTGGCAGAAAATCTGCTCCAGCATAATTCTCAGCTAAAATAACAGGCCACAGGTAGGTGCTTGTTGTTTGGCCTAGCTTAAGAGAGATGGGAATCTCTGTTTATAATTAGAGTAAATAAACCCTGATGGAAAATTGTCATTCTCCTCCTCTTTGGGTCATTTTTATCCATGACACCCATGATTGCAACACCAGTGTGATTAATTCCATGCAAGGGATTTATCTAAGATATCTTTCCATGAGAGGTTAGACCATTTGCTTGCACAGTGTTGTAATACTTTCCAAACAAGAAGCAGAGCAGCCCTGTGTCTGTCCTCCTCGGGGATGGTGGTCTGTCTTTTCAGGCTCACAGGAGACAGAAGGAGGAACTGAACACTCTGAGATGACACTTTGAGAAACCCCACACTGCCAAATGAGGCTTTGTTTTGCACAAACAACACTGACACTTGAATACTTCAGTCTTGGCTGACTGGTTGAGTCAAGTGAGTCAGAGCAAATGTCCATCCAGCTAGCAGCAGACTCTAAAGGAAGAAAGGAAGATGCTGGTGTGCACTGTGCTCCTGGCAATCCCCTGAGCCAGAGGATATGTCCCAGGAATTAAAAAAAAAAAAACAAAAAAAAAAAAAAGAGAGAGAGAGAGAAAATTGTTAATCATTAAAAGAATAAAATTTCTGGTGAACTCTGCCTTGATGAACTTTTATGAACTTCACAGAATCACTAGGTTGGAAGAGACCTTCAAGACAAATGTGCTTAGTTTCGAGCTGAAACTTGGCAATGAGTTAAACAGTTCTGTGTCATTCGGAAACGAACTTCCTTAAAAGAAAATAATATATTTGTGTTCAATGTCAGCTGCACTTTCCTGCCCTCTAAACTCTAGGATAGCATATCACACTGCCATGAAACTTGCTGGTCTTTAAACTCTCAGTTTGAAAGCCATGTGGTTTTGCTTTGGCTGAGTATCCTATAATGTCAACAGCCTGCATTTCTGACATCTTTTGTCATGGTGTAAGTATTTATGGCAACCATGTTGTGCTAGAGAGATTTTTCCCTGAAGGTCAGGACAGCTGCAGATGAAATAGCTGATCCCTTCCTCTGCTGGTCTTTACTGTACCTCTGCAATTTCTAATAAATGTTTATTGATTAGAATAATTACTTTTGGGGAAATTTGACAGAACTAAATACTGCTAACCCTAATTGTTGATTTAGCAAGTGAAGTACTTTGCCTTAGGACGTTTTTGGTGCACCTAGGTTTGCACCACTAGGTTTGGACCACTCTGCTTAAGTAGGAAAACAAAACTGGATGTTCTTAGCATGAAGTTTTCCTACCTCTTGAAACTGGACACCATCTCTCTTCAGGTTAACACAAAATACTGAAAGTACTTCAGGTTAACACATATTACTGAAAATAATAAAAATAACAGGAATTAGAAACAACAGGTTTAGCACCTCAGCTCTAATTATAATAGCGTTCAACCAGTGCCTGCATTTGGCAGAGGTACTGGCTTCTGTGATCAAATCAGGCAGCTTGAACAAGGCCTTGGCCATTCTCCAGCTTTAGGGGCACTTTCCTGGGCAGGCAATGCCTTTCTCGTTCTCTGGGGAAGTCCCTCACACAGAACAAGTTTCAGTGGATCACTTCCTCATTCTGCTCCTCAGCCTCTGCTTGGCACAGGCTAGAAGTTGCCAGGAGCTGACAAGTGGGCAGTGGCCGTAGAGCCCTTGAACTGGAGCCAGCATGAACAGAGCTATGGCACAGCTGTGGGGTCTGCTCCCAGCTCCTGATGTCTGCTCCTTCTGTGCAGCTGTGATCATTCAAGGGACCAAGCAACCCCTGAGGAGCAGCTGAGTGTGATGTTCCCCCTGTTCTCCTCCTGGCTGCTTGGAGCATCCTGAAGCCCAGCAGGTGTTTTCTGTTCAGCTGTAGTAGCAGGCTGTACTAGATAAATATCTACGTACTCAGCAGGCTCAGGAGGGTTTGTGGGTGTCTCTGTTTAGGCTGGTCTGGACTTTGTCATGTTTTGCTGCCCTTCCCAGATGCTTTCTTCTGCACTTAATGAAGAAGGCTATGGCGTCACTTTTGGTTTTGTCTTTGGAAGAGTAAACAAAACAGAGACCAAAAGCCAGCTACTTAAAACATATTCCTCTGCTGTAACTGGGGAAAATCTCTCCTTCAGATACAGGCATCCACTGTTTGGATTGCTCATTCTCCTGGCAGGGGTTACAGCTTTGTCTGCCTCACTTGGTTCAAGCCTAACCTTGCTGATCTTTCTATTTTTGAAATGCCTGAAATTCTATTGCTTCCTGTCATGCATTCTGGCTCCAGCTGTTTCCCACATCTCCAGGAAATAATGAAAAAATAACTCATCAGTGGGTCAAGATATGGTGCTGGACAAGAATGTGCTTGGTTTTGCCAGGGCTTGGTTTATCTGTCAGACACATTGCAGGCCTGGCATTGAGCTGAAAGGCAGGGGCAGAGGAATGTGCCTGGTCTCCAAGAGGGAGTAAGCCCGACCAAGAAATGCAGAGCTGTGTGACTTGCAATGGGAAATAAATTCTTCTGAGAAGGCCTGAGGTGTTGCAGGAGGCTCCTACACCTGCAGGCTTTTCCTATAGCTCGGGATAACTCAAAGCAGCACACCCCAAACTCACTGCAGCTGTAGCACCTCCCTTTTTTCCCCCCTTTTTTTTTGACTTGTCCATCTTCCTGTGAGAACCAGCATCTTTCTTCACCTTTCTGCTTTCACAGGAAAAAACACAACAACTTACTTCCTGTAAAGTAAGGAAGGCTGAGTTGGGAGAGGTGGTGCTGTGATCACTGGGTGCTGGCTCTTCACCCCAGAGGGTTTGTCCTGCTGCCAGCAGCTGCATGTGGCTGTTCCTTGTCTTCTGTGAATGCTTGGTGAGCTTTGCCCTTGGAGTAAGCCTAAATTGCTGAGGATTTTCTGGAGATAAAGCTGAAATCAAAAGCTGAATATGGACACTTTATAAGGGTCAGAACCTGTTAGGAACTGGCTTGTTGAATCTGTTTTGAATGGAGGATTCACATTCATTTGCAAAAGACTGGAGCTAGACAGTGAAATATCCTCTGACCCTCCAATTTTCCAGCCCTTAATAGAGTATTAAAGCCTTGTTGCAGCAGTTTGAGGGATTCGCAGCTAGATATGAACTGTTCTATAGAGGAAATATAATCATATTTATACTTCTCCCTTGTGCTCCCTCTGTTGACAAGCCCTTCATTCATTGGCACGACCATGACAAGCCTGCTTTTAGCACTGTTTCCAAACTTAGCCAATGTTTAGAACAGATTGTCAGAGAACAGCAACCTGGCAGTGCTAACAAGGTGAGCTCAGGGGTTGTTCTGGGCTCTCAGCCGTCTGCTGGGTCTCTGTCACCTCAGAAATAGCCTCTCCTCTCCCAGAGACCACAGAATGCTGCAGCCAAACTGCCTCACCCTGGGCTGCAAGAGAGAGACAAGCAGCAGCTCAGAGCTGGCTACCAAGACAGGTTGTTTGTATTGATCCTGCTGGCATAAAGAGTGTTTACTCCACACAAAGGCTTGCTGCAATGTGTTTCAACACAGAAAACCCTTTCCCCTTGCTTGGCAGAACTTTTCCTAGCCAATTAAAGGCTAGTTTGTTATCAAGGAGTTTTATAGGGTGTTTCTCCAGTGAATCACAAAAGGTGCAGACTGCCAGGGTGTTTCTGCAGGTGTCAGAGGGGTGCAGCTGGACAGGTTTCCAAACGGGGCCCTGGGATGTCCCAGGCTGCAGCTGTCCCTGCTGTCTTTGGGGAACCACTCCTGGGTGCAGCTGAACATGGCCCAGGCCTCTCCTTGCCCACAGCACTTCAGGACAGCTCTGTGGACTTGCTCAGGTAAAAATTCAGGGCTAGTTATCAATTAATGGAACCATTTTGTAACATCTGAGCCAGCCCAGGTTTGGATTTTGGCCAAGACTAAAGCCTTAGTCCTTATGTATTTTTGTTTTTCAGGCTTGAACTGGTTACAACTAACTCTCCTTCTCTGCACTTTCTAGCTTCTATGATTCTGTTATAGCCCAGCTTTAAGATGAACCATCCCAAGGTGCTGGAAGGCTACAAGCCAAGAGTGAGCCACAAAAAAAGAACCCCAGCTGCTTTGTGCCTGGATGAGGAGCTGGAGGAAAGCTGCTCCTCAGGAAGCTGCCAAGATCTTTGGCCTGTCCAGGGAACCACTGCAGGCATGGAGAAGGAGGTGCTCACAGCAGCTCCTGCACAGGACACACAGGTGTCTGCTCACAGGAACCCTGTGCTTGCCAAGGTAACACAGCTAACCCCTAACACATGTCCCTGCATATGCAGACCCTGTACATCTCGACAAGCAGCTGCTCCCCCACTTCCCAGCTGTGCTGGAGAATGTCTGGAATGCCTCATCTCTGTCACCACCACCCAGCAGCCAGGCCCTGGCTGGCCTCCACCTTTGGCATCAGGGCTGGGCTTTCCCACATTCCCCCTGTGCAGCCTATTGCAGTTCCTTGGGCTGGCCTCTCTCTCTGATATCCACAAGGACATTTCTGCAGGTGTGAGAGGGGCCCAGCCAGAAATGTCCCCAGACAAGGCCCTGGGATGGCCAAGGCTGCAGCCATCCCAGCTCCTCCCTGGGAACCCACTCCTGGTGCAGCCAGACGTGGCCCAGGCCTCTCCTTGCCCACAGCCCCCCAGGACAGCTCTGTGGGCACTGCTGGGCTCTGCACTCCCACCAGACAGAGAAACAAGAAGTTCTCTTCAGCAGTTTCTGCTTGGGCTGCTCCCCCTGCCAGGGCACCACTGAGATCAGTGGTGAGATCAGTGGCAACCATCACTGAGATGTCACCTGCCATGTCCCCACAGCACAAGCACCACAGTGACATGCCAGAACATTCCACTGGAACCCACAGTTAGCCATGGCCAGCTGGCTTTTGCCCACTGACTGGGAGAACGAGGTATGGCTGTGCAGGGCGATGGCCAATGAGGGAAGCTTCAGGCCACCTGTGAGAATAGAAAATTGAGCTGATTTCCCCAGAAACACCAGCTCTTTCTGTTCCAGGTGCACTGGGGCAGTGGGCTGACATGGCTGCTCCTGGCCTTCCAGGACCAGGGGGAATTGTGCCCTGTGACACTGCCATGCAAGCGATGGAGGATGAGCAGGACATCTGGAATGGCAGTGACACACACAAGACCAAAGGAGCTCCTGCTGTTTCCAGTGAGAGCACAGGCAAAGACAATCTATTCTTGCCTCTCTGCTTTCCAGAGAAGCTTTGGAAAATGCTGGAAAGTGACCAGTTTCAGTCCATTTGGTGGAGTGAAGGTGGAAAATGTGTGGCCATCAACAAGGATCTCTTTGAAGTGGAGGTGCTGGGCAGGGGAGTTTGCCGGCGGGTTTTTAACACGCAGCACATCAGGAGTGTCATTCGCCAGCTGAACCTCTATGGGTTCACCAAAGTGCAGCGGGATTGCCAAAGATCTGCCTCCCTGCCTGAATTCCTATCAGAGGAAGCAGCAGCTTCTGCTCACAGCCAGGTACAGCAGCTGCTCTGCACAGCTACTAGTGCTTGTGATAATCTGGGGGAGAGAGGGACCTTCACAGCAAATAAGGCCTTGCCATAGAAGAGGTGGGGATGGGAGTGAGTGGTTAGGTTTTCATTCCTTTCTCAGCCTGTGCTCAGGCAGATTTGAGGGAGTCTTTCTGACTAGTAGAAATGCAAATAAGATACATTTCAGTGAGAGCTACTGAGTTTGAACCTGTTTAAGGGACAGACAGACTCAGTGTAATCTGGTTTCTCTGAATGTTTGTGCTTTGTGTCTTGCTGTATTAAATCTGTATTAAATCTTCCTGTGGCACCTGCCCAATGCCAAGCAGATGCATCCAAGGATCATGAGATTTCCTGCCTACTCACATCGGCACTGAAGCTGCTGAGAAATAGTCATATTTAATTTTTGAAAGCAGCTGTTCTGCTTTGGACCCCAGGAGGGCAAAACCTCAGTTGTGATGGCTGAACACAATGGCCACATAATGCTTTAGCCTGAGCTTTAAGTTGCATATTTAAGTTCAAAGTCCTTTTCCTTAGCCATGCTCCTCTTTTGCAATTCAGAGTCCTAGTTCTTGTAGCTTGGGTTTTTCCAGTCTTGGAATAGTAGCAACTAACTCTTCTCCTTGTTTTAGATCCTCTACTACTATAACCCCAGCTTCAACAGAGCACATCCCTGGCTGCTGGGAACGTGCAAAAGGAGAGCTGCCCTCAAACAGAGAGCCCTGTGTGCAGCAGGCCTGGATGAGAGGCCCCTCCAAAAGCCCAGATGGTCAGTGTGGAGGGAGATGCAGGTGTCAGCTGAAGCCCATCCATCTCCACTGGCAGCTGCTCCCATGCTTCTTGAGCCTCCTGGAGCACTGAATGGATAGAAAGTCTGATAGCCATAACCTAAGAGTTGATAATAAACTGTCTGAACAGTAAACCTTTCTGGTTGTCCTGTCCTATTTGAACAGTGGAAAACTCTCTTATATCATTCTGTGTCTTTAATGTCCCACTTGTCCTTTAGTGGCCTCAGCAAGATCTGTCCCAGCACAAATGTGGCCATGTCCTGCTAGCACAAAGAGGTGCAGCAAAGGCTGAGCTCCTGTTGCACTGGACAGAAAGGAAGCCAGGACCTTCTTTCTCTCTCTGAGGATAAGATGTTGGAAGGGTAAATGATTCGTGCAAGGAAGCAATTGGTTTGGGTGGTGGGCAGTGAGCCCACCACTATCTAGTTCTGCCTGCTTCAACTGGCTTGGAAATACAAAGAGCCACTGTCCCCTCATACAGTTCAGTTCACAGCAGGAATGTCCAGCTTTAGTAATTATGGTCTGTTCAGAGGGGAAAGTGCTGCAGGGGAGATGCTCAGGTGGGTGCCATGGAGTTTATGCTCATTGGAACAAGGGCTGCTCTGACATTCTGCAAACAGGTGCATCCTTCCCTTCAGCAAGTAAAGGCAGCAAATGTAACAGATATTTGGGGTTGTTCTGTGGTCTGCTCTGGTCACACTTACCTGCCGTTCCTCTCTGCAATGTGCAGGAATGGTGTGTGGGAAGGAGAGAAGCCAGCTCTGGGTCTTCAGGAGGTGCAAGGCTCCTGAGAGCATAGAGCTTTATATGAAAGACTGGGCAGTTGTGTGCTTGCCTGTCCTGACCAAACTCTCCTGTCAACAGGAGCTTCTCTAGGAAGGTTGATGTTGCTCTGCCCATTCTACTCTCAGCATGGCTGAGTCTTCATCCTTTTAGGTTTTCCCACTTTCCACGGACACTTGATACTCTTCAGCAGGATCTGACTGATACCCTCCTCTAATCTGCAGAGTGAGGTCCCAGATTTGTGAAATTCTGGGACAAAGAACTGTTCGATAAGATTAGAGGCTTAAAAGTCAAGGCCAAATGTGATCCAGCCCAGTGATCAGTGCTGTTTGGAAAGCAGCCCCATGGGGATGGGTGAATTCTGGAACATGCTTGCATGGCACTGGCCATACCAACCTGCTTTGTAGGTAGGTGGTGCTGGACATGCAGTGTTACCTGCCCTGGCCAGGCCAGCCCCAGGCTCTGTGTGGCAATGAACCCTGCTGGGTGTGGGTGCTGGACATGTGCCCCATGAGTGAGGAATTCCATGTCCCAAAGGTTTCAGCTTCACTCCTGTGAACTCAGCTAGGGTTTTCCTAGCAGTTTTTGTGCACTTTGGGCTCTGGGTTGACGCAATTGTGAGTTCAGCAAAGCCTGAACTCTGCTCACCCCTGCAGACACCAGCAGAGAAAGTTCAGGGACTGAAAGCAGCCACCTGCCCTTGGTCAGCAAGATCAGCACAGCTGCGCCACCTGTGCTGGAGACATTTTAAAACCAGGTTTGATCCACATTCCTGTAACAGATTTTAAGATCTTATAGTGGTTTAGGACACTAGAACCAATGTAAGTGGTCAGGGACAACTTTGTAGATGCCAAGAGGCTGTTGATGGTATTCTGGCTGGATCCAGCTTGAGGTTTTCTCACTCCTGAATCCTTCTCCTCCTTTAGGCTAGTTCTGGAAACTGCAAGCATGTATGAGCTCCCTTTACTTGCTCTCTCTCAGATGGCTTAAGAACTGTGTAGCTCCACAGAGGGAGTAGCAGTGTATTCCTCTGGTGCTTCTGCAGGCATCCCCCTGCCACCTTCTCCTCAGCCACTCGCATGAGCACTGAGTAGTACAAATCCACTGCGAAGACTAGGCAGCAAATAAAACAGGGTATTGCAATTACCAGGGTGCTTTCTGGCTCTCTGCCTAGCAGACACTTCAAATCTGAAGCAGAAATATTTTCTCTTAGTGTCCTGAGCAACTGCAGAGTCCAGGCTTTGCAGGCCCTCTGCATGCTGAGGGGAGGGCTCCCCCAGCCCTGTCAGCTGTTTCCTGCTCTTGCTGTAATCAGCTCCTGTCACTTTCCTCCCGCTTTCCAAGGCACTGATAACAAGCACCTGGGGCACCCAGATGACCTTTGTCTGAGCTTCCTCTTTAAACTCCCTTGGCTTTTGCTTTATTGCTTGGTTGTTATGGAGCAGTAAAGATCTGTTTCGATAGCAGTAGAGGCTGCTCTCCTTTTTCTCTTCTTTATACAGCATCAAAGCTCTCTGAATTTGCTTGAACAGATTTGCATTTAGGTCTGGACTTACTTGAGTAAAAGGTTGGTATTTTATTTCCTCCTGTCTTTCTCTTAACTCTGTAAGGAAGGGTAATAAGCACAAAGGCAGGCACGTAAAAGAAATGTGGGCTATACATAAACAGGTTTGGCACACAGGGGAGGACAAAGTCATTAGTAAGAGAAAAAATAAGTGATGTGGCAGCAAGCTACATCTTCAGCTGATGTAAAGCAGCCTCTCCCCATGGAAGCAGTGGGACACGTCACTGTCATCAGGTGAGCTGTTTGGTGGGTCTGCTCCCTTCTGCAGTGTCTAACGTGTCTGTAGCTGCCCCCTTCCACAGCAGCAGTAAAGGAGGTTGGACAACAACTCTCTGAGCTATGAACCTTCATCTACATTCTTTGGCTCCTTGTAGCTGTGTGCTTGGGGTGCCCAAGTCCCTGCTGTGCCCTCTTGATGCAAAGTGCCAATACCAAGGTGGCTGTCACACCCCTGATGGCCGTTTCAACCTATGCCACAGCGTTCGGAGTTGGTTGCCCAATGCCACTGCCTCCATCTCCAGGATGGATTGGGATGGGACATGAAACAGCAGTGAAGGAGCCATGCTGGGATTGTGGGGATCATGGGGACAGGATGGCCTTGTTGTGAGAGTGCTGCTAGCAACTGGAGACCTGGGTGTAGGTGCTGGTTCCATTTCAGTGTGTGCACATTGCATTCACCAACGCCTTGTCTCTTGGAGCTCCTTTGTAGATGGCAAAGTACTTCTTCCCATCGCTAGTCTCATTGAGAACCTCAGCTTTTCCAGAAAAACTCTCATAGTGGCTTTCTGAAGCTTTGCATGCTGTCCTTTGGAATATTCTTAGCACTGCAAAGGACTGGTATGCTCAGCAGTTTAAGTATTAACAGGACACGTGAGAACTGGGGTTTGCTGTATAGAATTGGTAAACATTAAGTTTAGTTGCTAAACTTAGACCCACACACTCTAGAGAGAAATCCAGGCTTTTATGAATTGGGCTTGAAGTCAAAGGTTAACTGTAATTTCATGCAAGAACAACTCACCTGAATTCTGGGTGTGTCTGATGCTCTGCAATAGCTTTTGCAGCATGCAGAAATCACAGCTTTGGCAGGGCTGCCAGTGCGAGGCTCTGTCGATGTGACAGAGGGGGCAGATCATGGGGCTTCTGGTCTCTTTCTGATTCACTGTGACAAAAATAAGCCCAGGGAAGGACTTGCTGAGAATTACTAGATAATGGCCAAAGGTGCCAAGCTGGGAAGTGGCATTTGAAAGAGGCACGCTCAGACTGAGAGCTACGGTATTCTTCCCAAAGAAGCTGCCTAGATGGGCCTGATTTATCTCTAATGAAGCCGCGCTGTATTTCATCCCTTTTCCTGCTGGCTTTTCCCTTTATCCAGGCGAGGCTGCTGCGGCCCCCGCCTGCCCCCCGGTGG